GCAGTTTCACCATCTTGGCCAGGCTGGTCTTGAACTCCTGACCTCATGATCCACCCACCTCGGCCTCCCAAAGTGCTGGGATTACAGACATGAGCCTCCGTGCCCGGCTGGTTATTATTAATAGCAAATAAGCTGATTTGTTTGTTACATCAGACAATTAAAAATGTGTTCTGCTGACCAGCTTACAGGTTTCATATAAAACAAAAAATCCTGTGTGAGAAGAGGTAGTTAAGTCCCTACCCATGTAAACAAAAATCTTATAGTAAAGGCAAATTCAATATTTATGATGGCAATGTAACTATATGTGAATGCAAATCAGGAGATTCCTAATCTGGTAGGTCTTGCTATTAGTATTTTTTAAGGTCTTGAGGCTAAATCTATTTCCCCATTGCAGGTATAGAAATAAGCTTATAAGCAAAACAGATGGAGAGTATAGGGCCAGAGGTAGTGGATATGAACAGAAGTCAGGACTCTGTCATGGAAGAAAGCTAGATAATAAGAAAAACAGAACACAGAAGTGAAAATGGGGCCGTTAGTAAGAACCTGAGTATTATAAAAGCGCTACCTCTGACCCCAACCACAGTACACTGATATTTTGCCAGTGTCCTATATTAGTAAAAAGAGCTTCATGTAGCATAGGGTTTTAAGTGAGACTGCTGCAGAAGCGTTTTTCAATACACAATATTATTTTAGGGATAAGTTTATTAGATCCTTTGCTAAAGAACATATGCAGCTCTTTCTATACTGACACCTGGGTCTTAAAGCAAGATGAGATTGGGTCAATAAAATGAAATATGACCTTTCAGTACGAACAAAAGAGTCAATACTTCATGGAGAGATAAAAACATTCAAAATGAAGGCCAACAGGCTGGGTGTAGTGGCTCATGCCTATAATCCCAGAACTTTGGGAGGCTAAGGTAGAAGGCTCACTTGAGGCCAGGAATTTGAGACCAAACTGGACATCACAGCAAGACCGTCTCTACAAAAAAAAAAAAAAAAAGAATATATAAAAAGATTTCAAAGAATAAGGTCAAAAAGTTCCAGTTACAGCGCCTGTAGTCCCAGCTACTTGGGAGGCTGAGGCAGGAGAATGGCTTGAATCTGGGAGGCGGAGCTTGCAGTGAGCTGAGATCCGGCCACTGCACTCCAGCCTGGGTGACAGACCAAGACTCCGTCTCAAAAAAAAAAAAAAAAAAAAAGGCTCTTGTTATACAGTCTCTTCTAGTAGATGACCTTCCACAGAATGTGAGATCTCCACTACAGCAAGGCTGTATTAAAATGAACCTTTATTATCCAGCACCTTGCATGTGTGCATTACAATAATAACTTATGTTCAAAACCAAGAACATTGGTCCTTCTCAATTATCAGATATTAAACTGTATTAGTTGATGTTCCATGTCAAGTAAATTTGTTATATTTTGTGTAACACAGTAAGTACGTTTTTTGAAAATTAATCGTCTAAGCTGATTATATTTCTCTTTGTAATATGACCATTTAGTAAGTTTAGAAGACAGCTCTTCTTATAAGTATATGAAACCAATATGTAAAAATTATGTGGTTTCAGAAGAGCAGTCAAACATTCTAAACAAGTAGCTTAAATATTATTTCCAAATAAATGCAGGAAAAAGGATGACTATGGAGGAAAACACTAATGATATAAAACAAAGAAACAGAGAATTCTGGAGAAAGAACACGAAAACTGAAAAAGAAACACAAGGATTCTTATAGATGATGAATACATACATAACCTATGTGTCTCTAAACTCAAACTAAGTACATATTAAATCTTTTCTAGTAGCCACACTTCATTTCTTGAACGTTTCCAATTAATGTCAGCAGGATTCATAGTATTATGCAGACAAGAATAGTGTACTAATATTACCTGTTTTGCTGTATTACTTGGCAAGATCAAATTAAAGATAAAAAGATTATCCAATTGTTCAACTTCTCTTCCCCCTGCTTTTCAAAGTATAAATATACTGGGCTAAAAAATTTCTGAGTTACTAACTAAAGAAATCCTGTGAAGCTATATTTTAAAATAGTAGGAAGAAAACTGGAATAAGGCCAAATGGGCAACTGAGTATATTTAATCTCCATTAGTGATAATCTTGAGCATCATGCAAAACAAATTCCACCATTAACACAACTGACCAGACTGTCTGCCAATAACAAAATAACAAGTATGAGAGTTTTCTGAAACAGAATAAGAAACATTTTAAATGTTCTCTTGGTATATATAGAAAATGTTATGTACTTAACCTTACTACTTTTATAGTCACATTAATACTACTTATAATAGTTCTACATACATTTGACATAAAATGTATTATAATAATTTATAAGAAACACTTACTGGGTAAATTTTTTGGAGGGATGGAAGGATGGGTTCAGGTAGGGCTATAAAAAGAAAAAGTTTAAAGCTTCCGTGATTCACGTGATTCATTTTACAATGCAATAATTTGTCAGCTACATCCCAGGTATGAGACTGTAAGGGTTTATGCTAAAATTCAACAGTTTTCAAGTATTTCATGAAATTCTTATCCCTAAGTTTGTATTTAAAATATATTTAAGTTGACAAACTAAGGTTTTATTAATAAACTATATATATCCCTATGTAAACCAATGTTCCTCACATGGTTTTAGAACAGGCTATCAATAAAGGGACACATGTAATTTGTCCAACGTCAGACATACACACACAATAAGCAAGACAAGGATTGCTCTACAGATACTGAATAGACATTATTAAGATGGATGTAGTAATCAAAAACCATAATTTTAAAAATACAGTTCAGTGACACTAGGAGAGAAAAACAGTTCTTTCATAATTGTCCCTTTATTATTTAATTTCCACTGACAATACCAAAATTGAAATCGTTCAGGAAACTGATATACTGCAAATAACAACAACAACAAAAAATCAAATAAAACTGAAAGAAAATCTTTAACCTCATTAGTACATTTTTAAAGAATGTTCAGCAAAAGTTAGAAAACTAAGGGCAACAATCTGCTATAAATAAAATTTCACACAAAGAAATCATTATCCTGTTATTACCATATTTTTGTCATCCTTCACCATTCAATAGTTCTAAACAAATCCAAACTCATTAAATGCACTAACAGTAACTTTACATTGTTTTAATATGAAAAGAACAATATAAAAAGGCAAAGTGCCTAACATTCACAATATAAGAAATAACTGTAAAATATAATGTCACGAGTATGGTAAAATACAAATACTACATTTTCAAATTTAAGAATTAGGAAGTATTTAAGAATTAGGAATACACTACATATAACTACATAAACTCAACAACAAAGCATATTAATTCACTTTTAATGTGTGATTTAGCAAAAACTTTAAAAAATGACTTCTGAAATATATAAACGTACATGTAATGAACCATTATGACCAACTTACATGGTCTCCAACTATAATTAAAAGGGTGTAAGTTTTTACCACATAGTACAAAGTAGGATGCTTTATTTAAATTTCCCTTATGTATCACATTTCACCTCATGTTGAAAATTGGCATAAAATTAAATTCCATGATACGTCTTCATGTTCTCAGTACATGACTGAGAATATTAGTAGAAAAAACTCAATCATTACTTACCAGAATCACTCTTAGGAAGTAAGAATATATATATTCCTTTCCCCTAAGAGGCATTCAAATACTCAACATGCTAAAAGACCTGTCAAGTAAACTCAAACCCCACTCACTTTAATTCTAAATGTCTCTATATTTGTATAACACTTTTTAATGGCTTTCTAGTAATTTTGGTTATAATACAGAAGTCAAATTGGAAAATCTTACAAGAAATTAGTTTACTTAAAAACTTGAATACCTTTCCCATTGAATACTCTAGTATACTAAAAGTATAATAAAACAAAGGATGAAGAAAAGATTATAGAGAATTAGAATAAAAAACCTTTATCTCATTCTGGTAACATAACTAGAATACTAGGAGAGAAAAACAAATACTAGCCACTGGTTGAGGATCTTTCAATGGACAAAAGAGTTTTTAGAATTCTGCAATTTGGAAGTTTCTGGAGGCAGGGTTATCATTAAGTAAATTCTTTATGTTACAACCTTAAAAGATTTATAAACACTAGTCATCAGAGAAGCAATTAGTGTACTGCAGAAGTTATTTATTAACAATATCCTGATATTAGTCTCAATGAGTTTAGTAGTTTTTAAAATGTTTATCTTACTCCAAAGCAATGTAAATTCTGGAAAAATCTGACTATAACATCTATTTTAACTTCAGAATTTTGGATTACAGGTTCCAGTCTTTTAAATTTCTCTCTCAAAGGCAAACTAAAAACAAAACAAAAGCTCAATATTAGAGTACATGATTAACAGGCAATGCCTTGAATACAGCTAATGTACAAAATTTTACTTTACCCAAAGTTTGCATAACAGCTTGCTGGTAGGGACCCCACAAATTTATACCCATAAACTTTCCATATAGATGTACCAAAAATTTAAATTTTAAATAGCAGATCTTCGATCACACTAAGAATCATTAATTTTGAAAATACAAGGACAACTTTACTTATTCATTAATTTTTTTTGAGACAGGGTCTCGCTCTGTCACTCAGGCTGGAGTGCAGTGGCACGATTTCGACTCACAGCAGCCTCTACCTCCCGAATTCAAGCGATTCTCATGCCTCAGCCACCCCACTAGCTGGGATTACAAGTGTGCACCACCACATTCAGCTAATTTTTTAGTAGAGATACAGTTTCGCCACATTGGCCAGGCTCTGCAAGGACAATTTTTAAATGTCTACCAGAAAGCTCTCTGCCTAGGAATATGGCAAACATTCCATGAATATTCTTTAATGTTATTATTTCTAGCCAACTGATGATCTTACCTTTTTCATTACTTTTTTTTTTTGAGACAGAGTTTCACTCCTGTTGCCCAGGATGGAGTATATTGGTGCGATCTAGGCTCACTGCAACCTCTGCCTCCCAGATTCAAGTGATTCTACTGCCTCGGCCTCCCAAGTAGCTGGGATTACAGCCATGCGCCACCACGCCCAGTTAATTTCGTATTTTCAGTAGAGACAGGGTTTCACCATGTTGGTCAGGCTGGTCTCAAATTCCTGACCTCAACTGATCCACCCGCCTTAGCCTCCCAAAGTGTTGGGATTACAGGCGTGAGTCACCATGCCTGGCCTCCTTTTTCATTAACTCTTAAGTTATAATTAAAATCTCTTCTCAATTCCCCCTCATGCTTTGATCAGTCATCTTTCAAGTATCTGTAGTCAATTACTGACGACTGGAATTTATTCTAGGAAATGTGTTAGTCTTTTTAACCTTTCTACATACACAGGATCTATTTCCTTTCTCTGTTTATGGCAGAAAAGATATTGCAGGATTTAAGAAGTTCAACAAAACGTGAAGGTCATTTAATCCAACTGTTTGTGTTACAGGTGAGATTAAGGCCAGTGAGGTACAATAACTTGACCAAAGTCATAAAAACTAGTTTTTTGTGGCAGAGCCGGAACTCCTCAATACACCTTGCAGACTCTTGTTTGCCCTTTTCCCTCACAGTAATGTGATACTGCCAAGAAAAGCAACTATCTATTTTAATCACTCTCATTTCTTCTAGGGAGGAGTAGCTTAAATTTGCCAGTGTAGAATTACACATTAGCTCTGGGTAGCTGATGTCCTTCAAGAAAGACCTAGGAATGGCTGAATGCAGTGCTATTAATTACAAACCACTTCAGTAAATGGGACCACTCTGTCAAAAATAAAATGTTGGGCAAAGTCTAAACTAAATTTTAGTATGATTTTAATAGGCTGGCAAAATAGCAATGTTTAATTTTTTTGTTTTCTTAAGAAAGAGTCACTCTGCTGACCAGACTGAAATGCAGTGGCATAATCACAGCTCACTGCAACCTCAAACTCCTGGGCTCAAACAATCCTCCCACCTTAGCCTCCTGAGTAGCTAGGACTAACGATATGTGCCACCATGCCCAACTAATTTTTTTTATTTTTTATTTCTGTAGATGGGGGAGTCTCACTATGTTGCTCAGGCTGGTCTCAAACTCCTGGTCTCAAGCAATCCTCCCGCCTCAGCCTCCCAAAGCACTTGGGATTACAGGCATGAGCCACTGAGCCTGGTCCCAGTTTAAAATTTTTAATTTGCTTTCAATACCACATTGGGGCATGTGTGATTAACGTACATTTATCTAAAGAAGTCAATCACATTTAAAATTTCTAAGGTAACCAGTAAGAATTAAGGAGTACGGCACATATTATGGATGATCATGTATGCTAAATGCTTTAGTCAAATCTCATTTTTAAATCACAACTAAAATATAAAGTGAATGGTGGTGAGTGCTACATATCTTTTGTATTTTATATATATAAGAAATCCTATTCCATTTTTAATGAAAGTAAACTGTAATCCACAAGAGAACAGAGTTCACTGAAAAAAAATGTTTAGAGTTCACCTGAACATATATTATAAAGTAATATATATATATAGACATGTATTTTGTAAAACTGGACAAAAATGATTAATGACACATAAAGTAGTATCTAAAATAGCCAATGTCGTATGTTTCGAATTCTTTTAGAGGGGCAAATGAATCATCAAACCAGTACATATTCAAGACTGGTCAGCAATAAAAATACATGTATTAAGATTAGCCTGAAATATTTTAACATTAAAGAAGATTATCAAACCTCTCTGATGACTGAGTCATAAAAATGTTGGCCCATTTAAACTATTTTGTCTCTCTTGGTAAGTCAAAAAAAACATCTGAGACCAGCATCCAAAGGAAAATATACTCTCATATATTATAAAACATCTGCAAGTATGGTGAAGTACAGAGAACTTCACTAAACTGTCCATAAATAACCTCTGATATAATTTTGGCACCTACCTTTTCAGTATTTGCACATATACAAATATATACACAGTTATTATTTTTAAATAAAATTGGTATTATGATATATGAGACAATATATCATGAATATTTTCTTGTATCATTAAATATATTAAAAACATGATCGTTAGTTGCTATGCAGATCTCATATTAGGGTATATCGTAATTAATTTAACCATTCCCCTATTCCAGTTAATTTAACCATTCCCCTATTCCAGAAAATTTAAGAGTACTTCTAATCTTTTATTATTTACATAACACCATAAAAAAACAGCCTTACAGGTACATCCATATATGCACCACTCATTATTACATTAGGATAAATTTCTAGAAATGAAATAACTGAGTCAAAGGACATTATATAAATATACAACACTGCTTTCTAAAGGGGTTGTACCAAATCAACACTCTAAGCATGACTGTGTATTCCATTTTGTCATTTGTAAAAACTGCCAATTTAAGAATATTAACCCCTACATCTGTAATACATGTTCAAGTGAAATTTTGTAAGTAATAGGACAGAGTATAATATTATATTCTGTCAAGAATGTAGAATGCCAAATTCAACCTAGGAGCATACCACAAAACTTTGATTACCAAGAAGGGACAAGGTTGACACACTATGAAATTAAGAACAATAACATAAACACTTCGGTCAAATAATGGCACCCTATCTCCAGACAAAGATGGGATGAAGATGTGTCTAAAGGTAGAATCAAGATTTTGAGAACTAGCTAGCTCTAAGACTACTCCAATTAAAAAATAAATATGAAAAAATGTTCCCCAAATTCTTCACCATAGAGGAAAGGTTTCTAAGCTGTGATAAACTAAAAAAATTAAAACATGTGTGTATGTGCCAAAAGTGGGAGGCGTGTAACAATTACACTGTTTTGTGATGGTCTGTCCATTATTCTGAGATTATATCATTGCTTTTTTGGTATTTTATGCACCATCTTTTATGAAGTAATGGTAGTAATTGGTAGCAGTTTTTTGGTTCTGATACTTAACACAGCAAAATAAAAACTCCAGTTTGGTTCTTTTTTTTTTTGGACATTACTCTTCCTTGAAATCTAAAAGTCTGAGAATCATGTAATAAACAGGTAAAAGAAAATGTAAGAACATTATTTAAGAAGACCATGATTTTGTAGAGGAAAAAAGAACACACACCATTTACAGTTACTTATTTGTCGCCAACTTTTGGAATTAAAAGACCTGAACTTGACATTTACGCATTTAGGTTTGGCTAAACATTTTGAAACCTTTGCAAAGAAAACAAAAACCAGAAAAAAATAAAACAAATGTTAACAATAACAATCTTTGGGTGTGAAAATACATGGGCAATGTATTTTTTTTTTGGTCCACTTTAGTATATTCTCAGGATTTTCTATGATATATGCACAACTTATTCAAAATGAATTTTAAAATGTAAAATAACTATTTTAATATCACTATGTTTTAAGTATTATTTTAAACATAATAATTCTGAAACAAAATAGAGAATTCCTCACAACCAATCTTCCCTCTGAACTGCTCTTTTTTAAGGCATTGGTAGGACAATCTTCGTTTTTGTCCCAACCAGTTCTATCTATCCTCCTATTAGTAAAAGTGGCTCATCACACAGAAATTCTCAACTTAGGTATCATCCTCCAATCCCTATCCAAAGAAGCCCAGTCTACCAGGAACTGGGCTAACAAAATTGTAATCCCCAACTCTAACCATTTCTGATCTATATAACAAGGAAAGGGTGTCTTCTTCTTTTCCCAGTTCCCAGTATCCTCAATACAGAAACACAGCTGTAAAGGCATCAAATCATCTCAACTTTCCAAGACTAAGCTGCTGTTGACAAAACTGCTAATATTATCTGTTATCTCTCTCAGAATCTAAATACAAAAAGCATCAAACAATACAACAAAAGGATATTTTTCAACAGGCTTTTTTAAATGACTACACTGTAATAATTCATTTGTTACTGAGCATATCACATGTTGACAGTGCTCTATCAGCAGCTCAACTCACAACGGTGGTAAAAATGTTACATTTTATTAGTAATCTGTGAGTTGCTTAATAATTCATATTTTGGTAGGTAACAGCTACAAAAATGTTACATTTCACAAGTCAAAAATGTAAGCTTCATGAAGAAGATAATTGTTTTTGTATTGTGTTCACTGCTGTATTCTCAGATCCTAGAATACCTAACATTTACTTGGTAGGTATTCTATACATATTCATGGAATGAAGAAATAAGTATTATATATGCTAAAATATGTTTTCTCCTATTATTGTAATCTTTGGAAACCGAGAC